GAGAAGAGGGAAAGATGAAGGCAGACACCAAAAAGAACTGACAAGAGACCAGGATCAGAGGTGTAAAATGCTCCCTCTGCCTGTTCCTTATAAAGCAAGCACCTACCAAACATTTTATTTATATTTTCCAATCACTTTACCTTGTTTCTGAAGCCCTCTTTCCACCCTTCCTCCTCTCTCTTATTCTTTTCCTCCCTCCCTTATTTTCTCTTTCCCTTGAGTTTTCCCTTTAGTATTTGCACTGTTTTTCCTCTCTCTCCCTATTTTTGTACCTCATCATTTCCCCCCCATTCACTGGCTTGTCAGGCTTTCAGATTGTGTGAGAAAACAGCGTGCAGCCGCATCAGGGGGCTGTGTAATTGTGCTGTTTTTCTGATACCATAGTTCAAGCATATGGGGAAGGAGCCGTAAGTGTGTGGGGAAGGAGTAAGAATGCAGCTTTCCCAGTAATGTTGGGTACGTGTGATCAGAGACAGCATCCATCCAGCTCCAGAACTAGTGCTGCTGGAGGCAGCACATCACTCTCGAGAATTGTTTCTAATAGAAAATTGCATTAGAACCAACTTGTTCATAACACATTGGCCCCGATCTTCACTTTCTACACTCCAGTTTCAAGTACATTAACCATGTTTACACTCCTTGAGCGAGACCTCTGGATGGGCTAGAGCAAGCTCACTTCATGACTTAAGAACAGTCTGGATAGTGGAAATGAATCAAGCGCCATGGACTAGGAGAGAGTTATTCAGAATACCACAAAACTAATGCAAAGGTGGGTTGAAAACGAAGACACTAAGGCTGATTGATGACAGATGTGAAAAAAAGAAAAGAAACTCCAACCCCCCCTCCCCCCCAAAAAGCACAAGTGCTTTACCAGAAGAGGCACTGTGTCAGTTTGACCCTGCTAACCCAATGTCTGTATAAATTGGGCACTTCAGCAGGGCTTTTTGGCACTTTTATCTAAAAGCCGATTCAATCAGCTATTATATAAAAGGACCAAAATGCCCCACTGAAGCGCACAATCTATACAAGACCTTGGGCAAGCCGGGTCAAAATGACACAGTGTCTCTTCTGGGCATCCAAGCTAAATGTAAAATGCTGGTTTGTTTGGGGGGTTTTTGCATCTGTACGTCAAGTTCATGTTGTAAGTGGGGGAGAGGTCTGAGAATAAGTTCTCTCAAAAGAGAAACTTGATGCTTGATGAAAATTCAACTGAATGAAACAAGTAAAAGGTAATATAACTTTAGATGTTGTAAAAAAGGTATTTCATGGTTACTAAAGCTGGGTGCAAAGCACAAAAATAAATTTCTGCTGGCAAACTGGTGACAAGCACAGAACACAGACCAATTAAGCCACCATTGCACCAGGAGTAATTCTATAATACGTAATAATTAACCTTCCACACACATCCAAAGTTTGTTCTCAACTTTTTTTTCCTTTCAGATAAATTTCAAACAGAATAAAGTAAAACTTACCAGACGAATCCATTTCATGGCATCACCACTATGGGAAAAATGATATAATAGGATCATAGATCATAGACAATTAGGTGTTGGAAGGGACCTCAGGAGGTCATTGAGTCCAACCTTCCTGCTCAAAGCAGGACCAGCCCCAACTAGATCATCCCAGCCAAAGCTTTATCTCCAAGGATGGAGATTCCAACACCTCTCTGGGTAACCTGTTTCAGTGTTTCACTACCCTCCAAGTAAGAACATTCTTCCTAATATCTGACTTAAATTTCCCTTGCTGCAACTTGAGACCTTTGGTCCTTGTTCTGTCACCTGCCACCACTGAGAACAGTCTAGTTCCATCCTCTTTTGAACCCCATTTCAAGTAGTTGAAGGCTGCTATTAAATCCCCTTTCAGTCTCCTTTAGATGAAATAAGCCCAGTTCCCTCAGTCTTTCCTCAAAAGTCATGTCCCCCAGTCGCTGAACCATTTTTGTTGCCCTCCGCTGGACTCTCTCCAATTTATCCACATCCTTTCTGTAGCAGGGGGCCCAAAACTGGACACAGTACTCCAGGTGTGGCCTCACCAGTGCTGAATAGAGGGAATTAATTACTTATCTTGAACTGCCGGCAACACACCTATCAATGCAGCCCAGGATGCTGTCAGCCTTCTTGGCAACAAGGGCACATTGCTGGCTCATATTCAGCTTATTGTCCACTGTAATGCCTAGGACATTTTCTGCAGAGCTGGTGCCCAGCCAGCCAGCACCCAGCCTATGGGTGCATGGGATTGTTCTGTCCTAAGTACAGGACTTTGCACTTGTCCTTATTGAACCTCATGAGATTTATTTTGGCCCAATCCTCCAATTTGTCAAGGTCATTCTCAGTCCTAGCCCTACCCTCCAGCATATCTACCACTCTCCCCATATTGCTACAAAGCTTTAATATTCCACTGTTCCTCAATAGCTTCTCAAACCACTTCCTCATTTCAGATGAGGAAACTGCGGAGCAGAGCCCAAAATCATACAAATCAATAGGTATAGCAGACATACAACCCAGATTTCTTGAATTCCTAAATGGTACTCTAAGTACTATATCAAAATCCCTCCCTGTGATCCTTTATTTAGGGTGCACACATACCATGAGACAGACCAATGTTTTGTCATTTTCGAGGCCCTCTTCCTGCTACATAAATTTATTCTATCCCGTTTTTTATTTCCTCGCTTTTTTCCTTGATTCTATCCTGCTCTTCTGTTTTTTCCAACCTTCACAAATCTCACTTCTCCTTGCACTTCTTCCATTCATTCCCATTCTCTACTTTTTCCTGACTCCTTGTTTACATACCTCTGCTTTCTTTTACTCTCCTTCAGGAAATCAACTGTGCTAAAAGATTTTTCCTAGTTCTCCTTAAGCAAAAGTTACAGTGTATCTTCCAAGACAGCTGATCAATATGTATCTGAAGATCCCCTCTAAAACACTGAGCAGAGCTACAGATTAAGACCCAGTCCCATAACCTTAGAAATCAGTTACATTATTTTCATAAATTCCCACAGGACAAGGATGCTATTAGAAGACAGTAAGAGTTGGAAAACCTCTGTTCTAAAGGCTCCAAACAGGAAATGGAACCTAAAAAAATGTGGTTGTTGCTAATGCAAATCTAAACAATATGTATGTTCCCCTGGAAAAAATGACTACAGAATTCAGTAAGTGAATTTTGCTTTTGGAGCAAGAGTAACGTGACATCCATAGAATCCTATGCCATATTGTTGGTTGCACCTCACATTTCAACAGGCTTGGAAAATTTTGTTGCGTGTTTTCAGTATTCTTTAGCCTCTACTTTTGGATTCCATGTCCTTCTGCTCCATAAATGTAACTGTATAGAGCTCCGCATCTTCCCCAACAAAACCAAGGGGCTGATTTTCCATTGTCCTGCATTTTGTGCACCTGCAGTAAGTTACTCCAATGTAAGTGCAAATTGCTACCACTGGTGGGAACTGAAAATTCTGACTTGTACAATTCTGCACTCATTTAGCACAGGTGGGAATGATTACATGTGATGAAAGAAGGTCAAGAATTATGTGCAGTTTTCTCTTCTCTTCCTGTGTTTATGCCCCCTGTTGGATAATACAAATATTTTTCTTATACCTAGTTGGAAAGAGCTATAAATTGATGCAGCTTAGCCTTGTTGCTTATTTTTTATATACTATTGCATTTTTCACTACAACGGGAACTTTAGAGAGCTGTTTCATTTAATACCTCTGGTCAGGGGAATGATAGCCCATTTTTCCTTCTAGTTTCACCAGAGCACAGTAATTTAAATAGCTTTTCATATTTGTCAGTAAAGCTATTTTAATTAGAACAAAGCATATTCTTTAAAATAATCTCAGGTTCTGGTTCACATTCCCAGGACTGTGTGCATGGTTTTTTATTAGAGTTTTTAAGTTTAAAAAACCTGCAAACCAAAAAAACCTCATAAATCAGAGCAGACACCAGAACTCAGAGCCCACTATCAGCTCTAACCACAGGTTTCTGTCCTGAGGAAAGCCTACAACTTAAATCTCCCCTTTGTCAGGCTAGTACTCTAAGAACAAGGCTGTTACATAATATTACGCACATGCTACTAAATATCCTGGTAGTCTCAAACGTAGTAAGCCTCATTCACTCCACATACAAGTCTATTGTTCCATTATGATGAGTCAAACTCATCTGGCCCACATGTGAGCCAGTCTGTGGGCTGGACCAGGAGTGACCCACTGCAGAGTGCCTGCATGCTACATGCACCAGTCTCAGGGGCTGGCACAAGGCATGTACTGCCAGCAGCGCACAAGCTGGATCCAGTGTCGCAGGCAGCACAGGAAGATCAGTCCAGGGTGCCATACTGGGTTCAGCCCCTGTACCACTGGCAGCACATGCTCCATGCCAGCCCCTGGGGCTATGTTTACAGCAAGCCCCAGGGCCTGTATGTGCTATTCACACTGCACCCAGCACAGAGCATATGCTCCGTGAGGAGGCCTGCCCAGCCTGAAACCTGCCTGCAGGGCTGGCTGATGGGGCTCATATGGAACGCACACCCCATGCTGGCTGCCCGTGCTGCATGCAGCATGTGCGGGCAGTCCTGTCCCACTTAACATGTGCTGAACCAGCTGACCCCAGGGCTTTCTGTGAACATGGGGCAGTGCACGGGCTGAACCTAGCACTGCATATGGCACAGGGAGTTAGGGGCTCAGGCTGCATGCTGCACCTCAGACCAACCCCCTGACCTACCTGGAGCACAAAACACCACGTCCAACCCATACATGATATTCACTGCGTGGGGCCAGAGCTGGTCAAAACTCATGGGCTGGATCAGCCTGCACATCATAGGTTTGACACATCTGCTTTAAAAAGCTTGTATAGCCTCTTATCTCAGATTTTTTAGCTATACTAACCTAGTACCAAAAGGACTGCCAAAAGACAGTCACTCACCACAAATCCCATGCAATATCTTCCTTTCTCACTAGCCGGAGAGGGTAGGACCTACTCCTTGTTCTGTCACTGCCCAGCTACACAACTTTATGGAAGTTATTTATTTTCCCCTTCTCAGTTTCCTCAACTGAGAAACAGGGACCATGATGCTGGCTGGCTCTATAAAGTACTTTGAGACATATGATGAAAACCAGGTGTGCCTGTCTGACCTTGAACATCTGGTCACATGCCACTCTGGCCTGGATGTTCAGTGGTGTTCACCTGTCCGTCCCAGATGTTCCATCGAGTAGGGGTTTACCTCCGGTGTAGTCTTCCCCAATTTTTCCTGCCACGACTTTGAATCTTACTTCAGTGGAGGGTCCGACCACTGGGAGTCTCTCGACAGTGAGACGTCTGTCTGGTGGTCTTCTGCGAGGCTCCACCTCCCCTCTACCCCACCCTTACTCCCAGCCTTGATGAGTCACAGATGTCCTTCTGGCCAGATCCCTGACCGTTGAGTCCCTGAGTACGTTCGCCGAGATGGTCCTCTTGGCTTACATGAAAACAGCCCGTAATATCCTACCCATGCTCCAAAGCAGTCTTCTTTTACCTGAGGCTGCCAACAACTTCGAGGCTCCACGAGCCCTATCTCCTCAACCCCACCAACCATGGGAAACATAAAATACAAACGAAAAATCACTGCTATACTCTGAGGGGCCCAGCTGCCCCTTTTCCCTGGCTTCCCCCCGGCCTAGTCACCAATACCCGCCCCAGATACTAGGGGTCTATGTTTGGCTCTATATGTGGCCGTGGTGGCCTGAAGGCTACTCCACCCTTCTTCTCACTCATTGACCAGCCTTCGGTTTTGTTGGACCCACTGTGGTCCACTGGCAGACGACTGCCCCCACGTCATCCACTGGGTTGTATCTATGCCATTGAGGGCCGCATTTCACAGCCCTTCACACTGCTCTTGCCTCCCATCTCCCACCTGGTATGTCTCTTCAGCTCTCTCGGTGCCCTCAATGGTCCCACTTGTTCTGGTGTCTTGAAATGTGCTTGCCTCTCCAGCTCCCTTGCTGTGGCCACTAGCATTGGGATCCTCCTGCTTCCCTATGCCCTTTTGTCCAGGTTCCTGGTCTCGG